ATGAAAAAATGGCATCGGGCCTCCAATGTTGTCTACTTTGTGTAAAAGTTGCAAAGATGCCATTTTCAATCTTTTTTGATAGTTCTTTAAAAAACAATTTTGGCACAGAGAAAATAAAAAAAGTGGGACCCACCAATTCAGCTTGTACTCAGATGTTGCAGCTTCGTTGAGCACCTTCTGCCAGAGTATCTACATCCGCAACCTGCAAATTAGGGCCCTTAAATGTCCTCGGACGCGACCGTGGACAGTGACCAAGCGTGACTCAAATTTTGCCATTTGCAATCACAAACCTATTATCAAAACATCTAATACATGCAAACACATGTACGTCAATCATTTTGGACATCTAGTTTGTGTTGGGCCAACGTGATTGTTACCAAATAAATTGCTTGTATTTAAGATTTTTACATCCGTATTGGGCCGACGGGTTTTAGATGCTTAGTTCCATCTTATCGCGTGAGGAGCTCGTCGACCAGCTTAAATGATTGGATCGTCCAAAAGCGATAAGCTTCGGTCATCATTGCACCCTTTATTAAGGAGATGGAATATTACTATTAATCTTCTCTACTTATCACAAATAGATTAATAGTCATGGTCTATCTTCTTTACAAATGAAACATTGATGTTTGCACGGCTCTTTTGGACTTACAATGTGTCAAACGAGCTATCAAGGTATATGAGCGAGATGAACTTGACACTCGATGACAATCATCAGTTTATAAAATGCAATCTAGTGTCATGCTACCTCACACAGGAAGAATTGATCGATCTATGCAACAAGAGAGAATCTTGCTGTCATCCGCCGTCGCGGCTATTTAAACCGGTCAGCGTCCCTGGGACTAAAAACCAGCTCAGGCGAGCCCGTCTCTGACATGCGCGGGGGAGCAGAAGCATGGGAGGCCAACTCGCAACGCCGTTGTATCTTTCACGGTGTGATGAGAGAGGAAGGAGTTCCAAGTGGCTGCAGGTGGGACTACTATGACATGGAGCGGGGTGCCCGCTCGCGTCCAGTTGCCCTCATATCGTCCCTATATTTAGTCCCAATTTGAGGAGCGCCGGACAGCCCAAGCATTTGAGGCCAATTTAAGGCGGTTGGGTGGTTTGGTTTTTTATGACCGATCACTGACCGGTCCGCCCGCCTGGACGTTTGGGACTGGTTTGAGACGTCCAGTAATGTAATTTACATTTCCACTACTCAAAAAAAAACTTATGCACACACTAGAATAAGGCAATGGGACAGACCGGTCCACCCGCCCGGACGTTTGAAACGGGTTTAAGATCCCAGTGATGTAATTTACTCCTACACGAAAAAACTCCGCGCACACAAGTGAGGCAACGGAGGGTCCGAGGCAGAAAAGCCATTGGCTGGCACCGCTGCGCTGGCGAAGACAGACGGACCCGTGACGATGGCCTGCAATCAGGCTGCTGCCAATGCATGGGTGCTTAGATGAGGTGCTAAGCACATTAAATAGCTTAGCAACTATACTCCCCAATGCATAGGTGCTTAGCTTATGGTTGCTAAGCTTGCTTCATTTAATGATTTAACAACTAAAGCTCTTCATGTACTCCCTCCGGTCCTTTTTTCTCTGTGTCTAAGAGCAAACTCGCATACCAAGACATGGGTCGCTGGCTGTTTTCTGGACGAGATTGCCCCTGTGGCCCTACGCGCATGAATGAGATCAGCTGGTGCTAATAAATGTGCATGCAACCTTGATTGGCTCTCCTTCCTCTCGCCTCGTTCCCAACGCTGCATGCGGACTTCTATCTCTTTCTCCGGCGCTGCATGCGAGCCAGCAAAATTCCAGTTCCCTCCTAAACCGAGCAGGCCGCCATGGAGTAGTTCAAAAATTAGCTGCAAAAATTAGTTTGCCGCCACGGATTTGTAATTCCCGCCAAAACTAAGAGAACCACTCCATAAATCAAGTCCCATGAAGAGAGCAAACTGCACGCTTCTCCTCTGTCTTCCGCACTTCTCTTGTTCGCCACATGCATGCATGGAACATGGATCATCGTCCTACACGAGCGGCGTCCTCCGTGAGTGCATGCCCTTCCAACGCAAGCATCAGAGGATGATGTCCACTTCCTCTGCCTGTTGGCTGTTGTCCTTCGCTTCCACCTAGACGACGCCGTCTTTCTCCTCTTGGGCGCCCACCATGAGCACGCGGTCCTTCGCAAGCTTGCTGTCCACGGCGTGCACGCAGACTGCCGAGAGGACGCCACCGGCAGCGAGCATGCCGTTCTCGGTGTGCACGCCAACTACCGCGAGCACGCCATGGTCCGCAAGCTCGTCGTCCTATGCGCAAACGCCGCCGCCGTGAGGATGGCACCGGCCGCGAGCACGCCGTGGTCCGCAAGCTCGCCGTTCTCTGCGTGCACGCCGCCGCCGTGAGGATGCCATCGGCCGCGAGCATGCCGTTCTCTGCGTGCACGCCGCCGCCGTGAGGATGCCACCGGCCGTGAGCACGCCGTGGTCCGCAAGCTTGCCGTCCTCTGCGTGCACGCCGCCGCCGTGAGGATGCCACCGGCCACGAGCACGCCGTGGTCCGCAAGCTCGCCGTCCTCTGCGTGCACGCCGCCGCCGTGAGGATGCCACCGGCCACGAGCACGCTGTGGTCCGCAAGCTGGCCGTCCTCTGCGTGCACGCCGCCGCCGTGAGGATGCCACCGGCCGCGAGCACGCCATGGTCCGCAAGCTCGTCGTCCTCTGCGTGCACGCCGCCGCCGTGCGGATGCTACCAGCCAAGAGCACGCCATGGTCCGCAAGCTCGCCGTCCTCTGCGTGCACAATGCCCAAAGAAGTGGATCCATACAAAGATGAGATGAGGAGGTGAAGTGATAGGACGAAGAAGCACAGCGCCTGAAGAAGTGGAGGGGCAAAGTTGGAAAGAAGCGGTGAAAAAGCCTCACGCGCAGAGCATTGCGGGAAAAACGGGAAAAAGTTAAACGCAAACTAAATAGGACCGGAGGGAGTATTGGTGGGCTCCTTTTTTTTAAATGTTTTGCCTAGGTTCACGCGCTTAGCATTGGTTCTTCCTGGGGTCACCACACTCATCTCTCTCCTTTTAAATAACTTGCCACATCAGATTTTTTGCCTACGTGGAAGGCTTAGCACCTGTATAAAGTGGAGCATTGGGAAGGGCCTCACAACGTTCGGTCGCAACCACCCCATCTATCAGAAAATTACATGACATATTTCTTTATATAATAAGTATAAGCACACACAAAATTCAACTCTAATCTATACAGATTAGCACCGTAATAAGCGCGGATTAGAGAAGCCCAAACGCAATAGAGACGCAGTACCGGCAGTTATCCCGTATTAATATCACCCGCACTTTTCCTTCCCTTCGTTTCCGCACCTCGCCTCCTGCCCCTCCTCCTACTCCTCCTACCCCTCGCCGCGTCTCGGAGGAGCGCCGCCGCGGTGCTCGGCGTCCTTAGCTCCGCCTCGGCCCGTGGCTGCCGCGCCCACGCCTCGCGCGGAACCAGGCTCGTGCCCCTCGGCGCCGCGGCGGTTCAGGGCAGTGGCGGGCTCGGATCCGAGCGCGGGGGATCCGGCAGGAGGCCCCGGAGGGGAATGTGGGTCCCGGCTTGAGGCTGTCGCGGGACGGGAGGCCACGGCGAGTGATTTCCGGGCTGTGAATTGCGAATCGGGGACCGGGGCGGGTGCGCTCCTGCGGTGCGGGTGGTTGGATTTGTTTCAGGGGCGGGCGTTCAAAAAATTCGGCTCGTCTTCGCTAGGTGAATTAGTGGGGTTCTTCGATCATTAGCTGTCATCACCTGGGCGCGCTTGCTCTGCTCTGCTCTGGCCCTTTTGATGTTGGCGATTTCCTGCTTTGGTTTGAGGCTGCGGAGACCACTTCTATCGTGTGGAGCGATGCACGTAGCCGTTGGATCATGTTTAACTGGGAGTGTAGTTGCGACGAGAGGCTAATTCCGCGGTTCCCACGACCAATCGTCTGGATTCCTTCTCGTAGCTGGAGCTGTTTGTGATAATTTTGGTTGTTCCAACAGTTTGATTAAACAGCGCTCGACTGCTGGTGGTTGTAGGCGATAATTCCACGATTTTATGCGCGGGCGCGTGATTTTAGATGTGTTTTGACTTTTGAGTAACCAAGTTCGTGAATACCTGCTTGTCGCGTAATATTCACCATTCTCTGAACGCACTGGGTTGATTTCGTACGGAATCGTTCTGTTTTCGAGAATTCTCTTGGTATATGTTGTGGCTGAACCATAGAGCTGAGTTTAAAATGGTAGAAGATTTCGTGTCATGTTTGATGTGTTTCCAAATTCTAACTGCTCCATAGTTTTGACCAGTTTTTCTGGGTGGGAAATATATTTGACCACCTGAGCTTGCTATTTTTGCGCTTGTTCCTGTTGTGAGTTTCTGCTCCACTAGTACGTGGTGGGAACTAATGACTATACCATGTGAATTCGCGGGCGACAACTCTAGATGCTTAATTTGACATCTTTAAATGAACAGATTCAGAAGTGTTTTCCTTATGAATTTGACCTGTGTGATTTGGTCTTAACTTTTTCATGGTTGTTTTATGATTGAGATGGCACTTAACTGTTGGATTCCTGGGTTCAACAGCAGGGTTTGACTTATTTGCACCCTACTACATGTGGTGTGTGTGAACAACCCAGTGAGATCGTGCCTTAAGGCATATAGAATGATCTGGAAAAGTAGCACACAATGACACAATTGACACGCACATGTTTAAATTTCTGCATGTAGCCTCCACTTTTCGATGTAATATTCCTTTTGCATGAGTTCGCTGGAGAAGAACCTTTAAATCCCGTCCACTTTGCTTTAGTTAGGCAGCTATTATTTAGTAATGTGAAGTATACACACAGTGTTCTAGTAGGATAAGTAGTCATATCTTTTTGTGTATACAGGTCGAGTGGAGGCGCATTTTATTGAGCTGGGGTATAAAGCATGGGTGCCGTCAGCCAGTAATCTCAGCATTTGTGGGCCAAGGGGTTGATGTCTTCAGGATAATGGCAGGGAAGGAGGAAGCTGCTCTGAAACCTGTATCATGTGGGGCAAGGTTACGTAGGAGTCGTGATGCATCAATAAGAGAGGAAGTGTCCATGAGGGACCCTTTCTTGAAGCACAGAGTGAAGAAGTTTGATCTATCTAGCCTAGATTGGATTGATCAGATTCCAGAATGCCCCGTGTTTTCTCCATCGGTGGAGGAGTTCGAGGATCCATTTGTTTATCTCAGTAAAATTGCCCCTGTTGCTGCAAAATATGGTATAAGTTCTTCTCTATGTTGCTCTGCGATTATTTTCTTCTCTTAAGGCAAGGGCATGACAAATATTATACAGACAGAGAATTAATGATTGCCAAATGTCATCTCATGAAATTTAATAAAGATTAATTTGCGCGGGGGTGCTAACAGTCCCTGCTACTTCAAAGTCGTATTAAGTGGCAAATATTCAAGTTTAGGGACCCACCAATATGGTTTTAAACTTTTAGACCTAAGTGATGCCATTGCACAAGTTTCGGAGCTTATGGTTTTTCTCTAATATAAAACTAAGCAATTGAAGTGGCTCTTTTGGGGTATTCTCTT